TTCAAGTCATTTAAAAAAAGAACAGAGTTTAATTATCAATATGAATAAAATAAAATACTTTCCAATTCCTTACTACTGTATCACATTATTCTACAGGGCAAAAAGAAAAATGTGATGTATCCTTATCTTTAATATACTTATATGTAATCCATATAAGATTAAATACTTACATGTAATCCAGAAAGAAAAATGTAAAGGAAAAGTTAACACAAGGTGGTCCATGGTTCAAGAATAATTGCAAGACCAGAGTTCACTCAACAAATTTGTATTTGGTTACCACTATGTACTAAGACTATGTTGAATGCTGGATATCTAAAAATGAGAAAAACAGGAAAAATCACTGTCATTGAGGGAAGTTAAGCTGGATACTAAATGGGGATGGGGGGGCCGACACTGGCATAGCAGGTAAAGCCACCATCTGCAATGCCAGCATCCCATATGGACTCCGATTCAAGTAAAGCTGACCCCCTTCTAATCCAGATCTCTGCTTATGGCCTGGGAAAGCAGTAGAAGGATGGCCCAAGTTCTTAGGCCCTTGCACTCATGTGGGAGACTGGGAAGAAGCTCCTGGTTCCTGGCTTTGGACTGGCCCATCTCTGGCTGTTGTGGCCATCTGGGGAGTGAACCAGCAGATGGAAGATTCCCTCTCTCTCTCTGCCTCTGCCTCTGCTTCTCTGTAACTCTGATTTTCAAATGAATAAATAAATCTTTAAAAATAAAAGGGTTGGAATGGGGTGAGATGAGGTCAAAGTAAAGTGTTAGTCTTTATCCTAACACATTGAAGGATTTTAAATGAGAGATTGTGATCAATTTATATATTTTTTAAAACATTACTCTAGGATCTTTGAGAAGAATACACTAGAGAGAAATAAACTGATAAAAGACAAAAAACAGGGTCTTGGTGCTGAACATAGAGAGAAAATGGCAAAATTTGACAGCATTTAGAAAGTTAAATAAAAAGGCTTAGTTAATGTAGCCACTGGGTCTCAGGGATGAAAGAAGGATCAAATCTACTCTGATTCCCCTTTTAAAGCCTGTAGACCTGGGTATTTGATCCCACTGATGGCTGATGGTTCTGTTTACAAAATCAGGGAGCACTGGAGGAAGGCTGTGTTCAAGAAGAGGGTTTTTGTGTGTTCAGTTGCAGACAAATTCTGTTTGAAGAGTCTTCAAAACATCCAACTTGAGATGTCACGTATTCTGTTAGAAGTTAAAGTCTGGATATAAGAGGAAAAAACATTTAAGCTAAAGATAACATTTCAGACTCATTATCAAATGATACCATCGTGGACCTTGATGAGTTCTCATTAGTTTACCCTGAACAATGAAATAGCTTATGTTAGGGTTCTGTCATGAACAGCAATTTGGAATAGCTTCATGAGGAAGGAGGGCCAAATCATGAAAAAAGAAAGATAGAATATAGGTAAGAAGAAAGATATGAAGTAGGAGGTGCACAATGAGAAAACAAATACATTGGGATGAGTGTTTGTAGCAGTTCAGACCTAGCTTGGGAGGTCTGTGTCCCATACAGATTGCTGAGTTCAAGTTCCAACTTTGCTTCCAATTCCAAATTCCTGCTAATGTGCACCCTGAAAGGCAGCAGGTGATGACTCAAGTACTTGGGTCCCTGCCACCCATATAGGGCATCTAGGTTTTGTTCCAGGCTTCTGACTTTGGCCTGGCCTACCTGTAGCCATTGTGGTCTTTTGGGGAGTGAGCTAGTAAATGGAAGATCTCTCTGTGTCTTTGTCTGTCTGTTTATCTGTCTGTCTCTCTGCCTTTCAAAAAAGTAAGAAATAATAAATAAATATGAATAAATAGGACAAAAAGTTCTATTTGATGTAAGTAAGAGGCCATTTAGGCTTAACCAAAGAAGGAAATCTAGAGGCTCACATTTAACTGGAAAGTATTCGTCTCATCTGCAAGTCTTTACCCTGGAGTAAAACAAAACAGCGTGCTCAGAACCCAGTTCCTCTTCTGTTTCTCAGTTCTGTGTCTTTTGTGTTCACTTAATTTGGGGCATATTGCCCTCTCATGACCCAAAGATGGCTGCCAGTAGTTTCAGAGGTTACATATTTACATGCTTATTACTAGCAAGAAGAACAAAGTTTTTGTTTTTGTTTTTACATAATAGAGCAAAAAAGACACTGAACCATAGACCAATTGATTATTAAGGCAATATGCTCATCCTTATAATTGTAGATAGAGGTTAAGATAAAGTGATTATTTAAGCTAACTAGAGTGCATTTCTGGAATGGGGATAAATCCTCCTACCAAGCCACATACAGTGTTAGAGAGGGGGATAGGAAACCTAGAATGGTGTATATTACAGGGAGAGTGAAGTGATAGGTTAAAGACCTTGGATCCAGTATAATAAAGGTATCTCTTGAGTTTTCACTAGAAGACTGATGGAATCAAATCAATATTTTAAGAAGCCTTACAGCAATGGTAGGACATATGGCAATGTTTAGGGCAAAGAGAAATTTATTAAGGAGTCCATGACCATAGTCTGGTAAAAAAGATAGTGAAATCCCAGACTGTAATTGACAAAGAAATGTTGACAAAGGAAGAGAGTAATGAAGTGGTGATATAAATATTTAAAAGAAAGAATCCACAGGAATCAGCAAGATGACAATCATGGACTTTGAAAGAAATTGCAGTGATTCCAACTGAGGTCTGCAGTATTGTGGTAGCTTTGGTACCAAGGCAGAGATGACATTCTGCCTTTCTCCTGCCGTGATACTCCTTAACCCTCTTCTTCTAAACCCAGTCCTGATCTAGACTTTCCATTCCATTTTGTTCTGACTAGTTACCATCATCTTGTGTCCCATTATTCCCCATATGCATAACTTTCCCAGGATTGAAAAACAAGGCAACTTCCTCCCTTGGTTGTAAAGGCTATCCTTGACTCCACGGAATGAGATCATTTCTTATTGTAAATTGCAGGGAGTTAAAAGATGGATATCACTACAGTCATTGCAGTGGCACTTTGGAGTACTTTTTAGCAAACGTTTTTGAGAATTTTGTCAACGAATAATGCTTCTGTTAGCAAGAACTGGTAGCCTTATAGTTTAAATAATTGAAATTCCAGAGGAAACAGTTAGTGGAGTTGGTTCAGTTGCTCATTAGTAACAGATCCTGGGGCAGCCTTTGGCCAAATAGTTAAGCTACCAGTTGGGATGCCCACATCCAATATCAGAGTGCCTGGGTTTCAGTTGTAGCCCTGCTCCCAATTCCAGATTCCTGCAAGTGCAAACCCTCTCAAGCATCAGATCATGGCTCAGGTAGTTGGGGCCCTGCCACCTACATGGGTGACTTGGATTGAGTTCCTTGCTCCTGGCTTTGGCTTGGCTCAGTCCTAGACATTGTGGGTATTTGGAGAATGAACCAATGGATGCTCCCCACCCCCACCATGCTGTCTTTCTCTTTCCCTCTTAAATAATAAGCAAGTTTTTGTGTTTCACTGGACTTATATTATGTCTAACACTGTGGTAACAAAATAGCTGCTGTGCCTCCAAATATCACATTTTAATTCAAGGCAAGCAAATATGTGGACAAGAGAAGCAGAAAAATTTATATTTATAAATAAAGCAAAATTACTCCAGAATTTCTTACTCAGCATATTTATTGTTTATTGGACAAAACGGGGTGATATGACCACTCTTAGCAGTAAGGAATACTAGGAAAATTGAACCCTTGATTGTTCTCTATTTGTGACACATAGTAAAGAACAAGATAGTTGAGAATAGATGTTGAGTAGCTAAGCAATAGAATCTTCCATGAGAACTTTTGTTAAACAGTATACTCTCTACTTGTATGTGTATTGCACTCTTGTCATTTTGTATTTGACCTAGTGTTTATCTATACATTTTGTTTTTTTCTACTCTTTAGGACCATACTTGTGTGAGCAATTACCAATTTAAAAATAGATGTTTTATGCCCTTTTTCTGTTAAACATTACCAACTTCTTAACTCATTCAACAGAGATGCAAGAATTTTTGTTTCCCTGAGTAGGCAACACAAATTGACTAGAAAAATATCACTATTGTTTGTACCAGATTATCTTGGTAAAAATTATGTGAAATACTACCAAATGAGTTCATAAGAAGTTAATGAAAGTATCCCATTTTATCTTTCAGAATGTGGTAGGATTTCATGTAAAGATACTTTCTGGCACTGGCATTGTGGTGCAGTGAGTTAAGTAACCAGTCATGATGCAGGCATCTTATATGAGCCCCTGTTTGAGTCCCAGCTGCTCCACTTCTGATCCAACTCCCTGTTAAAGTGCCTGGGGAAGCATCAGATAATGGTCCAAGTGCCTGGGCCCCTGCCACCCATGTGGAACACCTGGATGAAATTTCAGGCTGCTGGCTTTGGCCCGGCTCAGCCCCTTTGGGCTTTTGTGCCCATCTGGGGAGTGAACCAGCAGATAGAAGACCTCCCTCTTTTCCCTCTCCCTTACTCCTCTTTCTCCCCCTCTCCTCCTCCATCCCCCTCTTCATCTCCTTTCTGCCTCCCTTTCCCCTTCTGCCTCTACCCCTCTTGTTCCCCCTTTCCTCTCCACCTCACCCTCTCCTTCTCCCTTTCCTTCTCCCTCTTCCTCTTTCAAATAAATATATTTTTTTTAAAAAAGTGTTAAGGTGTTAAGGACATTTCCAAGGGACTTCATCAACCTTGACTTAGAAAGGTATCACCAAAATGTAGCACCTGTATATCAAATATAAAATTGGTAATTACACTTCCTGATGCAATATTCAGAAAAGCTAGTCAATTAAAGCAATATGAATTCAACCAGATTTCTCTGCAGGCAGCATCATCACGCAATTCTGACTTCACAATGACATGAAATTTTAAATGACAACTGTGCTAAATCAGGGAGCAGCAAACTCAGGCCAAGTTTAAATTTAGTAACACTGCTAGTTTACTGAAAATAACCTTCTCCATAGCAGATTCTCCATGATTTACAGGTGACCGACCTTTTGCTTTTCTGTTCTCTTTAGAGATAATCAGGTGCCCCCTGGCTCAGCATCAGCGTCTTGTGTTCTCAGCAGCAATTCTGGTGGCCACCTCAGGCGTCTCTTGGCCAGTGTTGAATCCCTTGGAAGTTAAAGAGAAAACCGACACATATATTCTTCACAGTTTCTGTCCCACATGTTCAGAGGTTTCTGGATGAGCATAAGAATTTGAAGGTAAGTGAACTTTTGAGATAACTCACATTCTTTGTAACTCTTAAGTAAATCAAAGGTGAATAATATATTTTAATAAAATACACAAAACTAAAAGCAGTGATTATTGCAAGAAACATAGCTACCTATGTGCATTTTTAAAGTGAAAAAGGGAGTTAAATGAAATGTAAATTTAAAAGTTATGTCATGTAAGTGCACAGTGGAAGTCTTGGTATTTGATCATCAGCTTCACACTAACAAACAGGACATGCTGTGGTTCTCAAACGTATATGTGCATATGAGTCCACGAGGGGAAGGAGAAGTTCTGAGATGATGGTTCCTGGACATATTTCACAGAGGCTTAGATTCACGAGGACTGAGCTGTGCTCCAGGAGTCTGCATTTTACAGTTACCTCTGTCACTGCTCCTGCCAAAGCGACCCCAGTGCTAGTGGGTGTTGGGCTTTAGACAAACTCTGAAGCTGGCATTCAAAATAACGTGCTTTTCATTTTCAAACTTCATATTAAACTGAGGCTTTTATGTTAGCTGTTTCCTATAAGCATAAGACTAAATAAGGAAAGGGTGAATTTAACACAGGGACACTAAATTTGTGTTACTGATCCTCATTACTCAATGTGATAACCTAATTGTCCAGTGTTCCTATCTCTCTCAGAGTGGATAAACCTGCTGTTACTCTCTTTAGCTGTTACTTTATTGTGCTCAATGCTTTAATTTATTTGAGTGTTTAGAGTTATTGGATCTTAGTATAATAAATGTCTAGAAGATGAAAATAATGTGTTATTACCAGGCTTGGTTAAAATTTTTTACATTTTGAGGGTTGTATATTCTCTTCATTTTGAAAACTCAGCCTTAGATTTCAAAGGAGTAGGTAGAAAACTTAATCTTTTGTTACTTTTGTCCTTTGCAGATAAGAACTTAGAAATTATTTGGTGTATATATAACACATTGCATGTATACTTAGTGAATGTCACTTTACTGTATTTCTGTATCCTTTACTCAAATAGCAACTTCCTTATTACTATATACAATTTTAAGATTGCTTTTTTTAAATTCTAGTGAAATAAGTGATTAATGTGGACATACTCAGATCTTAAGTTATGATGATTCCTTGAAGGTCAATATAAGTGTGATATTATTTTTATATTGAAGAATAAGTTTGTAAGTCAAAATCCTTTTATTGAATTTCCAACTTATAAGCATACTTTCTTACTCTTTGTTGGTTGTATACACTTATTAACATTGCATACAATTTCTTTACCATAAAATATCAAAAGTCAAATATAATCTCTTTATCAAAAAAATTCCTTACATGACAATTACATATAGCCATTAGTATTACACATAGAAAATTGAAGATAATCACAGAAATAAGATGGCATTTTTTGAAAAAGAAAATTAAGAATTTATAGCATTGTATTAATTATAATAAAATTCACTGGCATTTATTATGTGGATTGTTTTCAGTGGCAGTATTGCTACATCTGAACATAAAATTCTGAAAGTTGTTGTATGGAAGAGTATAAAATCCTAAAATTTATATGGTACAAGTTTTTGATTCAATATAATCTCCAAATAGGATTTAATAAAGCTAAACATGCAAATCTTCGGTAATATTTCAATTTCAGAAAAACACAGAAACTATTCTTCCATTCCTGTCTGTCTGTCTAGCTTGTCTCCTTTTCTTTTTTGTATTTGCAGAAGAGCAGGTGGAGAGAGAATGCAATTGTGTCCTTAAGTGAGTCATATTCATTATCACTGGTGTATTTATCAGACTGTGCTCTTAAATTGTGATTTCCTGAAGAAAACTAAGCAGAGTATTTTCAAGCAACATAAAGTAGGCAGTCTCAGTACTCAGCAAGGAAAATATACAACAGAGAATAAATTACAAGAACTTCATAGAATCATAGCAACATAAAATATTAGAGCAGAAAAGGACTCAGGGTCTTCTATTCTAATCCCCTCATGTATAATAGCAGTCTTTTTGCTTCCAAACTTGCCATATATAAAAGTCTGATACCAAGAACAGGAAACTACAGTCTGGTCAGGTATGCCTAAGAAGAGAAGAAACTAAGCAAATGTTTCCCAATGATTTCTTGGGTAAGGAAGGTAGAAGGAAATAGCTCACCAAGAAGAAATTTGAAGAAAGGAGGAAAATAGTTAAGTACTTATAAATGCAATTGAATTTATGATTACCAATTATTTTAGTCGTCAGCAAATAACCTTCCGAGTCATTAATCTTTAAAAGGAAAACAGAAAATTTAGCTTTAATTCAGTGTGGGTCAGCTTTCTCTTTAAATCTGTTATTGAGAAGGGAAAGAACTCTAAGTAATTTACAGTCTGTGACCATCCTTGAGGAGAAGGCAGAGGTAAGTATGTCAGAAGCTCTGAAGAACATTGGTTTTCTTATGAAACAGTTTAATAATGAAATGTATCAAATATCCAAAAATATTAAAATGTGTTTATTAGTCCTAATTTAAGAGGTTGGCAAGTCATTAAAATTTACAAACTGAAGTGTAATTATTAATGTAGAAAAATGTTCATAACATGTAAATAACAACTTACAAAACCATATGTGATGTGGTTCTACTTTTATTTATTTTTTAAAGATTTATTTGTGTATTTGAAAGAGTTACACAGAGAGAAGGGGAGGCAGAGAAAGAGAGGTATTCCATCCGCTGATTCACTCCCCAGTTGGCTGTAAGGGCTGGAGCTATGCTGATCCAAAGCCAGGAGCCAGAAGCTTCCTCTGAGTCTCCCACGAGGGTGCAGGGCCCAAGAACTTAGGCCATCTTCCACTGCTTTCCCAGGCCATAGCAGAGAGCTGGATGGGAAGTGGAGCAGTTGAGACTCAAACTGGTGTCCATATGGGATGCTGGCACTGCAGGCAGCAGCTTTACCCACTATGCCACAGCGCCGGCCCCTACTTTTATTTTTAAATAAGCCACAGATACATAGAAAATTTGACATTAATTAACATATTTATGGTTACCCTGTATTTATGAAATTATATCTGATTTTTGTTTCTTCTCAGTGTTTGTAAAAAAATTTTTAAAGGGCTAAAGGTCTGGGAATATATTGTTTCCTGAAAAAAATCGACTTATATGGGACTATAAGAGATTCCTGCTAATGATTGTTTCAAAGAGCATAAGGCAGAATTCTAACATCTTGTAGTGTTAAACTTATTTGAGCATGAGAACAGTACCACCAATTAGAACAAAATAATTTTCAGATGTAATTCTTCATTAGTAAAAAACTGAACTGGAATACAATTCTCCATGTGTTCCTCTTCATTAAACAATTATTATTATGATTATTAATTCCTTAGAAAATCTTTCATATATCATGTAGTTTGAATATGCTTCCAAGAATTTTCTAACTATAATAGTTTATTCCATTGGGAGAATAATTGTATATGTTTGGTTACATTGATGTTAATATGTCATTGTTCTTTAAATCTCTAGCATAACATACAGTTAGTCTCATCATTATTATCAGCAGCTGTGGCTGGCCCGTGATTGTGTTCATTTTCTCTGAATCCAGGGTAATTAGCTCTTCTGTTTCATGACAATTTTTGTTAATGGATTTTTAGGGCCAAATTCTGTTGTTAGAGAGTGGGTGGTGTGTTTGAAGATAGAGTCTGGACCTTATGTTTTAAGCATAAGTTGTGCAATTTTATTTCGAAATGATGGTTTAGAGAGTTTGAGATAGGAAAACTAAATCTGCATTTTTCTGAAGTTTCTCATTTTCAAGAAATAGAAAATAAAACTGACAGTTTATGTAGATAAACAACAAGCCCTCTGAATGTTCTCTGATAACAGTTCTCCTGTGTGTGTTTTGCCATACTTGGAACAGGGGAGGAAATGAAGTGATAATTCTCAAATACTAGGTTAATTCTTTTATGGGGTAGGTCACACACTGGATCTTTTTGGCAATGAGATAGTTTTGATCTTACATTTTTGAGTGATTTAGTGAAGTGAGAAAAACCTTGCCCAGAGTCACTGGAGTTCAGAGTTTGGTCTGAGCTTAGGGGAAATCTGTCTTTCCTTGCCCCTCAATTCTCCCATCCTAAAATGAGGCCTTCCCACCAGACAATTTCAGGGCTCCCCTTGAGCCTAAAGTGTAACTCTAACTGACTTAAAGACTGTTTTAGGGAATGTACAAGGATGGTAAGGAAAATGTGCTGACTTGCTAACTGAATACACGACATTAAGTGCACTAAAAGGTACTTTGGAAACAGTTTGGCCTTAAAAACTTCCCTTTAGTGGCTTGTTACTTGTGTCCTGGAGAAGATAAATATTTGAACAGCATTATGTAAAAGACACTATGGGCTACTCTATTAGAAGTAAGGAGATGGATTTTTCCAAGGAGGTGGATTTTTGGCAAAACTTAAAAAACATGCCAACATTTGAGATATCCAACAATGAATAGGATGCCATAGTAGATAGAAAATTAATTCACCATCATTATGGGAAAGAAAATGTTTTTAAAACAAAAAAGGCTGCCCTTTGAGGAATAAAGAATACAGATAAATATACTAAACATAGAGAGACTCAAAAAATGTTATTATCATGAGCTTTTCTTAAAGCAACTATTAGAGCACAAATTTATCCAACCAAGAAATGACTACAGAAACTAGTACAAAAGACCTGATTGTAAGTATTCAAAGAATGTAACCTTAGAACTAAATTTTAAATAGCTAGAGAGAGGTGGGCATCTGGATTAGTGTTGAAGACGCTGGTTAATATTTGAGCATCCCATGTTGGAGTGCCTAGGTTCAGTTCCCAGCTCTGGCTCCTGATTCAAACTTCCTGCTAACACTGACCCTGGGAGTTAGTAGTGATGGCTCAAGCACTTGGATCTCTGCCCCTCATGTAGGAGGCCTGGATTAAGTTCCCAACTCCTGACTTTAGCCCAGCTCAGACCTAGCTATTGTGGATATGTGGGGAGTAAACCCGATGGGAGTTCTTATATCTAAATTAAACTCTTAAATAAAAATCTTTGGTGTGGCGCTGTGGCGTAGCTGTTAAAGCCTCTGCCTGTGATGTGGGTATCCCATATGGCTGCTGGTTTAAGATCTAGCAGTTCTTCTTCCAGTTCAGCTCCCTGCTTATGTGCCTGGGAAAGTATCCAAGGATAACCCAAATGTTTGGGCCCCTGCACCCATATGGTAGAGCTGGATTAAGTTCTCTGTTCTTGGCTTTGGCTTGGCCCTGTCCTGGCTAATATACGCATTTGGGAAGTAAACCAGCAGTTGGAAGATTAAATTTAGACCCCAAAATCATTAACTAAGACAAAACAGAATATCTATAATGAATGCTTATGGGTTTAATACATGATCAAGGTATATGTGAATAAACAGTAGCTTTTAGAGCTACCATATAAGTTTGTCCAGCAAATCATTTTTTATTTTTTATTTTATTTTATTAAGATTTATTGGTTTATTTGAAAGTTAGAGTTACACAGATAGGGGAGAGGCAGAGAGAGAGAGAAAGAGGTCTTCCATCTACTGGTTCACTCCCCAATGGACCACAACAGCCAAAGCTGCGCCGATCCGAAGCCAGGAGACAGGACCTTCTTGCAGGTCTCCCACATGGGTGCAGGGACCCAAAGACTTGGGCCATCTTCTACTGCTTTCCCAGGCCATAGCAGAGAGCTGGATCTGAAGAGGAGCAGCTGGGTCTTGAACTGGTGCCCATATAGGATGCTGATGCTTCAGGTCAGGGTGTTAACCCGCTGCACCACAGCTGTGGCCCCCAGCAAATGATCTTTTAAAAAATCCCAAGAAATAGATATGGTCTATTTTTCATGTAGTGCCTAAAAAGTCATCTTCTGTATTATAAAGTAAAATATTTGTATTAATTGATTTTCAAGAAAAAGTACTACTGTTTCAAAGCTGAGTAAAACTACCTGGCAACCAAGTTAAGTACTTTACTAATTAACAAAATTTATTTTATCATTGCAAAAAGGGGGTAACCGTTTTTTTGAAAAGAAAGCAAACTTCTAGTAAGGCTATGAATGCATGCACAAAACTCATCTGATTTGAAAACAAAGAGGAACTTGTGAACTGCCCGTACCCCAAACAGGTATTCTTAACAGCGGGATATAATTTCAGAGTTTTTGCAGTCAAGAGGTTGCTGCTGAGCAAATTTCTCATTCAATTTAAGAATGAAGATTATAATAATTTTCCTATCCTCTTCACAGCAGGTTTCCTGCCTTCATTTTACAGGCTTCTAAGTTCAGTAAGAAACAACTAGGTAAATTCAGTTCCAGGTAACGCATCTTTCAAAGGTAGTTCCATTAACCCAACTTAGTTATAATGCAAAACTGTTTAGCCTTGTAAGTGAAGGGAATACTGTTGAGTTGCTTTTCTAATATAATGCCTATTCGTAATATATGCAAAGTGGCTTATGATGGCAAACTTTGTAGTGCATAAAAAATTATGAGGGAGAATGCTTATTTTTTTGCTGACCTGAAACTATGAGGAAATGCCATCTATGTTGGCATATGACACTCCCATTAAAATGAAAGGGAAATTACTTAAAATTGAAAATTTAATACATTGCTTTTATGCTATCTTACTAACCAAAAAAGTTTTAAATGAAGCTATTTTATATTATAGTAGGGTTTTCCTAGATAGCAAGGTGATTCTAATTTACATAAATTTTCTCCATTTTAATTTCTTTCTCTCTATTGATTCTCAACTATGAAAGGAAAAATTTCCTTTCGTTGTTGGAGAATGTTAAAATTGCTTAAATATCATTTCTTGTCTTATGATACTGGAATGATTATAATTGTATTAATGCAACTTAACCTGTATAAACCACACGTTACCACAAAGTAGGTCACTGAAACATTGAGCCTATCCTTTATATAAGTAAATTCTAGATAGCAGTTTCATCAAGTTGGCTAAAGTCAAAGAAATGAAATTTATATCATAGCCAATATTGTTCAGCTACAAAGAGTTCTTTCTCCAGGCTCTTTGCTTTTTTTGTTTGTTTGTTTCTGGTCTTGCATGAATAGGGTACAAATGTCCTGTGCCAAGAGGACATCATTATCAAATGATGATCAACATTATCAAATGTAATGGTTGATTTCATAACAGAAAAAGTAAATGTCCATTTAGTATAAACTTAACTGGCCAGATGTAGTAGTTTTGGTGTAGGAGAGAAGTACATTTATTATGCACTGTGATTTCAACTGAGAATTAAGACCTGTTCACTGATATATTTTAATTCGTTGAATACTTCATTTCTTCATCCATTCAACAAATATTTGGTTAATAACAATAGGCCAGTTTGCTCAAGGATTTGTGGTGCACCATGAAATAAAACAGACAAAAATCCCTGTTTTTGTACATGTATTCTGTACATGTATGATACTACATGTATGATACATGTAGTATCATAGATTATGATAAAAAGAAAGAAAATGTAAACAAAAGATAAGATGGATAAGAAACAATATGCCAGGATGTAGGAAATAGTATAAGCTGTTAGTACAAACTCTTCAGGCAGATGTTTTTTGGTGTGTGTGCAGTCTAGTTTTCTTAAAGAGTAGATGTATTGTGTTTGAACCATGGAGTCATTATTAAATAACTGTCACACAAATTTTCTTTCTTTAATAAAGGAGTACACATTGATGTTCACACTTTAGATATTTAGCTTAGAGATTCCCCAAATAAAACAATCAATTGCATGTTTTCACTATCTTTTAGCCTCCATGCTCTTTGCTTGGTTTTATTACAAGTGGACTAATTAACATGCTATCCCCATGTAACACCAAAGGATTTCTAAAAGGATCAGAAAATCTAGAATATAAAATTTTAATGTCCTTTTTTTTGTAAACGTTTATAACCATAGAACAATCCTTGACAGTGATGTCAAATCTCAGGTCAAAAAGTCCCAGTGTCAAGAGAGTGTTAACTTTTAGAATTCTCCTGGGTTTTCAAAGTATCTAGCTACAGTACAATTAAATAAAATTATTACTTGATTCTGAGAAAAGTGAGGACTGAATCCTGAACTTCAAAACATCTTTTAAGCAGCTTATATTTATCACTAATTTAGCTCATTTTCTATTACCACTTTAAGGATTATTTTCTTGCTGGTTACCATCTATATCACTAACTACCAATACTATAGAATCACAGACTGTCGGAGCTTGAAGTGCCCCCAGAAATTCTAGTCCAACTGCTTTTATTTTGCAATTGTGAAAGCTGAGTTCCAGTAAGGGTAAGTAATTTGTGCAGGTTAGATGGTTTGTACAGGTCCAGGAAGCCTTTTAGTTGTAGAATTGGGATGAAAACCCATTTTTGTAAATCCTAGCCCAGTATGTTTTTCAGTGCATCACACTACCTGAGAATTTCCATTGCCTGTTATCAAAATAATAGTTGATCATATCTTTGAATTTCACAAGGTGATCTGATCAGTGAGCATATTGATGCTTCTAGAAATGGTCTCACTTATTTCATAACCTCTTCAGCACTACTGGAATATGTCTAATCAGAATAATATTTTGAGAATTTTTTTGTTTGAAAAAAAGCAAAGCTATTTTTAAAGCCACAGAATCACATTATTAATAAATATGACACAAATGAAATACAACTGTTATTCTTCAATGAATTATGAAAGAACATTGGAGGTACAAAAGTGCTGAGTTAAGAAAATGACTTAAGTAACATCTGTGCCCTGGGTTCCTGAGAGTCCTCAGGAAATGAAACAGAATCATGTGAAAACTGCCTCGTAAGGACAATTACATAACACGCTGGAAAATAATTTCAGCAGATTTACTGGAGCACAGAAGCAGTATATTCAGGAAACAAAGAAACACATTAAAGAGTGTCTTCTAGGCTTAGGGAGTTTTATAACCAAAAAATTAAACAAGACAATATGTGTATTTTTAAGACAGTTCTTAATTTAAGTATTATGAACCATCTTAAAATATTGTGCATTTGATTCTTCTAAATAGATTTTAAATTTCATTGAAATGAAGGATATAGTCATGGCTTTATAGAATGACAAAATGGGGGTTTCTCATTGCACAGAATAGAATTTGCATGCATATTTCTGGGCCCACCATTTACTAAACCAATATAATTTAAATTTTAAGTAAATCAAAAAGTATATGTAACACTAGGTACAGCACTCTAAATGATTGATGAGGATGATTTTGAAAAACAGCTGTAAACACCCAGGGTCCATAAGACTTAATGACTATTTTGTGAACTTTTCAAGATTTTGATAGTTTTATCTTATAATAAATGAAGAGAAAAATAAATAATTCACTCAGCTTTTATTTCTGTTACTATACAAATGTAAATCATATAAAACTGAAAAGCTAAAAACTGGATCTTCAATCTGCTCTAGTCTCTATGATGCTGTTCAATTAAAGTGTTCTATTAAAAAGTTAATTGAAAATTATAATTTAAAACTACATCTGGTTCTTATTAATGCAATAGCTAATTACTAGCATTCTAGCATTATGCATTTTAAACTAATTGTTTATTATTTTCAGTAACCAAAAAGATCTTTAAACATCCAAAGCTAATAAATTTCAAATTACCAATGTAAGAAAAACTATGAAAATAATTAATACGTGCTTATTTTTGATTGATTAAATTCATTTTGTCGGGAGCCCTTGCTGATGTCCTTGGAAATTTTATCCCTTTCCTTTCCCTCTCCCTCTTACCTCTATGAATATGTATGTGATTTAGGAGGCAACAACACTTTTTGCATAATCTTTTCCTAAAGGAACATTTTTTTTCCATTTTTAATCACTTTTTTAGATGAATTGTCCTCTGATGAACAAGGGGATTAGTGGGCCACACATACCCTCCATGTAAGCCTATATGGTCCAGGAGTGTTGTAGCATGCCTCTCGGGCTTGGTAAAATTGAACATACCTTTGCCTTTCATTGTCTTTACACACATTATGTAAATTGGTAAGAATAAAAATAATGTGATTGGAAGTATGGCTTGACAGACAGTGTAATGTAATGTAATCTCCAAATACATATGAGGTGGAAATAGTGCCTTGGGCCATCACATTTATTGTGAGTATTTGCATTTACACAGTTTTGTCTAGGGTTAGGCTTATATAATAGATTGTTCCAATGTGGAAAGTAAAATTGTTTTTAAACATTCTACTTACCACTTTAAGGGTAACAAAGAAGTACCAAATGCAATTTCAATCTGTTTGGAGAAGGAAAGCACCAAGACATAAGAAATCAAATTATACAAAAATGATTAATAAATACTGTATGGATTGACATGGCTACTGTAAAATCTCCATGTATATTTTATATGTAAATAAGTTCAGTGCATATATTGATGCTTAAGCAAAAAAATCAGGTACAAGAAAGTTTTATTTATATTTTGGCAACAAGCGTATATTCGTAAAGACTTAGATTTTGGATATAGGGAAGTCAGGTGTTCGAATCTCAACAGGGATCAAATAATACAACTCCAGTGCTAAGCCCAATCACATCATTGTATTTTCCCATTTCTTTGTGGTAGGTCATTTCTAAATCCCAGCTCATCAGAAAGCCATGTCTTGCTTTTAAAACTTCTTACCTGCTGATCAGCTTAGTACCCTTTAAACCAGGTTTCCTCTTTTCCAAAAGAAGTAAAATTGTTGACATTGAGGTTTGAGTATTGTTTAGTTTCTAAAGAAAAATATTCATAGCAATATGCATTTAGGTAAACATTAAGGATAACTGTCACTGAAAATAGAACTACTTAGCTATTCAGGAAATAAAATGAAAATATTCTTTTGCTTTGAACCCATTGCTTGTGGAAAACAAAATATTTAAATATGTAGCTTAGTGTTTATTAGAAATATACAGGAAGGTAACTTAAACATTTAGGCTATCTCTAAACTCATTTTAATGCAAATGAGAAAAAGGAAACACCATATTTCTCAGGTTAGTGATAGAACTGTCCATGGCTGGATTTCCAGATAACATGCAAGATAAGAATATGAATTCTGGGGTACATGTTTGGCACAGTGGTTAAGGAACCATAGCCAAGTGCCTGAGTTCAAGTTCTGGTTTCATTCTAATCCAGCCACTTGCTAATGTGCATTTTGAGAAGCAGGAGGTAAAAGTTCAAGTAGTTGGGTCCCTGAAACCCACATGGGAGATCTGGATTTGAGTTCCTGGCTCTTAGCTGCTAAAGGGCTCCTAACTGTTAATTTGAAAATAAAAAAAATATAAATATATAACAAATTCTGGCTGTCATGGGTATTTGGAAAAGAATAACAGATAAAAAATTTCTGTCTCTGACTCTGTGTGTCTCTCTCCATTTCAAATAAATAAATGTAAAAAAGGATCTGAGTTCTGAAGTTAGACAGCTAAACTCAAGGCCCCCCTTCTACTACTTACTAATTTTATTACACTGGACAGCATGAATTTGTTGTCTCAGTTTTCTCATATGTACATGCAGATGAGAATAACTGCCAGCATCACAGGGCTATTGGAATTAAAGGCGACTCGTGAAGTTATTTGTAAGGCTCAATAGTGGAGTAGTATATGAGGACTCTAGTTTCCACTATTCTAGATAGCCTCTTTTGCTTTCCCATAAATGAAATCTTCTCATGCAGCACTTTGAACCCTGACTACTTCTTCATTTTCATTGTTTCCATGAATTTGAAAATGAAGAAACTATAAATATTTAGCTTTATATAATTATATAACGATATACATATACCTGAGCATAAAGAGAATGGAAACATTCATTAAGAGTGTTGAACAGAATGCTCTCATTGTCAGGATGGTGGTTCCTCTAAGCCTGCAGTTTTGGAATTCAAATGGCAACGTTATGGCTTTGTCATCATAATCACATAAAAGGTCTGGCAAAATGTGTGAATGTGTGCATATGGGCAGGGTTGGCAAGGCCTTTGCATTGAAATTGAACCCACCCAACAAGTTGTTTCATCAAAACACTGTCTGGCAATGTTTATATCTCAGTGCACAATCCCTGGCTTTCCTGCTAAGTCTGTTAGTGAGTGAAGAGTGTGGGCACCAGAATAGTGTGTGGCAGGAGGCTTTGTCTCCAGATTGTTGAGCAGCTGGAGTGAGTGAGTCATGCTTGACTGACACTGGACAGCTGTCCATCAGCTCAGAATCACGGAAGAGGCTCTGTGAGGCAGCAGCTGGCTTCAGCGCCACAGCACCAGAGAAACACAACTGCTTGAAAAACTCAAGACATTTTGGCCTACTGTCCACTGTGCAGAGAACATTCTCCAACCAAAATTATACGGTCTTTAGTCTAATTGGAAACTATTCTTTATGAGCTCTTTCCTTTCTTTTTTTCTTTTGTTTTTGGAAAGAGAAGATGATTCTTTTCTCTATTTTGTGATACTCCCAAAGGTTTTCTGGGTCAGAATAAAAAGTTCATCAGAAATCATTCTAGCCTGCCTGAACACATTAGCTCATTTTCTAGTTCACTTTGTCTACTCCCTGCAGATAACAAGACAGTGAATATGAGATGAGAGGATATAAGTGTGCCTATAAGTGCACCTGCCATTATATAGACATGTTGATGAGTGGAACTGTGCTGTCAGAAATTAAAAGTATCATTGGAATGCCCCATGATCATCATCAGTGAGGGTTTGTGTACTATTTGGGGACCATAAAGCATAAAAGAAAAATTGACATTCTATATCCTAACTGAAGGTGCATGCATTTATGATATGCTGGTTTATTTGTCCATTGTTGCATTGGGCTTAGCCAGATTGCTGAGAAGACAACTCTGAGGTAACAAGTTGTATGGCTGCATGAATGATTTCATTTACTCCAGGGTCTAGCCAGTGCATCCAGCTTTATTTGTTAACCTAGCAGAACATTATTTATTAATGAGTTCTTCATGCTTTATTAAGCCTAATGTCAAAACACCTCTCTGGGACCCTGTTAGGCATGTTTTCTCTTTGTGGCAAGACTGTCAAAAGAAAATGAAAAATTATGCAGCAATGCTCCAATAAAAACACAATAGATAGCCATTAAGTTACTCTTGGTCCTGTGCAATGCTATTTCAGAATCTTTGTGAAAGATCTGAATCCAATGCAGTATGAAGATAAAACTTAAAAATCCACTCTTCGGATATTAGTAATTAGGCCTGGCCAAAACAAAACAAAGATTCTCTGGCCCCAGAAGATGGTGTCCTCAGTAGCTGAGAGCTGTCAAGTTCAGCAGGAAGGGAAAGCACAGGTGTGATCTGTATGGTGGTAGTGAGGAGGTATACACTTAGACATAACTTAGACTGATTTGAGATGAATGACAAGGTGAAATAACTAAGGACTGCTGAGGTGTGAGGAGGATGGGTATAATTCTGAAATATGATGGGCCTTAAGAGAACAAACAGTGGGGATGACAACATTCAAAAGACATGGAGGAGCAGGCATTGTGGCATAGCAGGTTAGTAGTTCCTTGTTGGAATGCCATTTCTGTTCCTAGCTAATCTGCTTCTGATCCAACTTCATGCTAATGCATTCTGGAAGGTGGCAGAAGAGGACTCCAGTGTTTGGGCCTCTGCCACCCACTTGGGAGACCCAGACTGAATTCATGCCTCCTGGATTTAGCCTCCCTGCAGGCATTTGGGGAGTGAACTAGTAGACTCAAATTTTTCTCTCTCACTCGCTCTTGCTCTCTTTCTCCTTGCTACATGAAAATAAATAAACATTTTTAAAAAATCCATAGAAATGCCAGCTGAGGTTTCTCCTGCCTTTGGGAGAGAAGGGTAGGGCTCAGTACAGGCAGAAGGATCATAGCCATAGGGAAGTCCAAGCAACAGGAGGTAACAAAGGGTAAGTGAGTGTTGGCATCTAAGGTATCATGACACACTTGTCAGTCACATGTAGTGAGAACTAGAAATGGAACCCTGCAGGTTTCAAAGTTCTAGGCAAGAAAGCTATAGGATTGAAACCAAGGTGTAAGGGAGGTAAAGAATAACTATTTTAGTTTAGTGGTCTGTTCAAGTCTGTAGGACCCACTCTTGACATAGGACTCATAAGATCTGTGGGAAGTGAGATCCAACAACAAGTCAACAAGTTGTACTCAATGCTGAGACTGAGACTATGTCTGCCCTTTGTCCTGGACATCCTGTTTCCAAGTACTGTGATTAGGTCAAGGATTGGCAGTTTCACTGTTTACTGTTCCAGGGTCTTAGAAAAAATGGGCTCAGACATAGTATCTGCAAAGAGAGTTTTCTATATTACAGTTCTCATTCTTGCTCTTCAAATAGTATAACAATTAAAAGTCTCTATAGCATATAACTCAGTTTTTAATTAGTAGGTTTTGTTACTATCCTTTCTAATTATTTCTGACATGTAGTTAAGTAGTGATTACTGAGTTCCTATCATGTGTTAGACACTACTGGGAATAAAATCGGGTCTCAGTGACAGTGCTTACAGGAAACTTAGAGCAAATGAGGAACTATACATGCACACATGAAATGACATCATAAAGTAAAAAATCATCAAGGTCATGAGGAAGCAAAGGATAAGGTCAGAGGAAGCTAAGGAGATATGAAAATTAAATGTGATGTGAGATCTTGAGTTCAATCGAGGAATAGAAAAAGTGCATTGCTGGAAAAACTGATGAGGCCCATGTAAACCTTGTTGTTTGGTTAAAATAATGCATCGATGTTAATTTCTTCATTTTGTTAATTGTAAATATTCAGAAAAGCTGGGTACAAGGTATAGGGAGTTTTGAAACTTTAAGTCTAAATATATTTCCATTTAAAAGCTCAAAATGATAAATGCTAAAGGGGGGTTGCAGATGAATATCTTTAGATGTTCAAAAAACAACAAAATTACTGCTGTTGCTGAGATGAAGGAAAGCCTCATGAAGAGGCAATTAGATATCCACGATAAGAGGCAATTCAAGGAAGAGAAAGCTGGATGAGTAAATACGTGAAAACAGGAAAAGAGAGCATTATCTGAGAAAGATAAACAAAAAAGGTAAAATTAATCACATTATAGCCTGTGAAGAAGGACGTATAATTCAATTTATGGGCAAAGAGATGTACAGGAAGGTAGATGCAACATGTAAGAAGATTAGCAAGCAATTTGATTTGCTAGAATTCACCATATGTGAACTGAGATGGATTATAGGGTTGTAGAGATAAAATTGTGAAAGACTTTGAATGCCAAATAAAGAGATTGACATGCCTCTCTTATGCTTCAAGATATCCCTGTAAGTGTTTCAGCTCGTTCCCCAGGAAACTGTGAGCACTTTAAACCTGAAATGTTATTTGTGTCTTCTGTTGACATATATCTGGGGGCAGGTGTACAGGAGGAAGAATCCCAGATTGGAATGTTATGAATAAGGGAGGAAGCTGCAGAAAACACCTTCATGTGAAGGTGAGAAGACAGAATTCCTGGAAGAAAGATTGAAAGGATGTACAAGTGCAAGGAAAAGGAAGGCTACACTGACATACTGTAGTGGTCAAGATAAGGATTTCGTAAACACAGGCAATATAGATAGAGTTAACTACCTTAGTTGAAATTTTTTGGTTAGAGATAAAGAGATTTACTTTTTTTATTTTTAGAAAAAAGTATTTATTTATTAGAAATTCAGAGTTACGGCGAGGAGAGACGCAGAGAGAGATCCATCTTCCATCTGTTGGTTCACTCCCCAAATGGCCACAATAACCCAGGCTAGGCCAGCCCAAAGCCAATGGCCAGGAGCTTCATCCGAGTCTCCTACATTGTTACAGGGGCCCAAACACTTGGGCCACGTTCCCCTGCTTTCCCAGGCATGTTAGCAGGGAGTTAGATTCAAAGTGGAGCAGCCAGGACGTAAGCCAGCACCCATAAGGGATAGGAGCATCAAAGGTGGTGGCTGAACCCACTATGCCATGGCCCTGAGAGAGATTTCTTTTATTAAATTCCAAAAGTAACCATGTCTGAATTAGGTACAAGATTATTTTAAATGTTAAATAGTACTAAGAATTCTCCAAATACAAAAGCATCTAATATTGTGTACTTGTTGATAAGAAATAATCAACTTCTACTTACATCTTGTTTTCCTCATGGTGACTTAGAATATGAATGTTGGTGTCATGTTTTTAGGGTTCAAGAGGAGGAGTGATAAGTTAGAGGGGTGTACATTACTCTTGAGAAGCAAGTGAGAAAAGACTAATAAATTATCACCATTCAGCATACATGCCAACATCTCTTAACTATGGCAGGAGCTCCACATAGCGAAATTCTATGAGGACTTTGGAACATCCACCATCACCATAACAACTTTGCCAAGGGCCCAGCCTGCCCACATGGTAAGACATTTCATGCTGGAGGGGAGTCTCTGGGCTTGTATTCCTACTAACTCTCTAACAATGTCTACTAAGGAGCCTAGTAATAAGTGAGCGGTTTATCTGTTAGCAAGCAGGGACTCCATTAATACAAATCCCCAAATCTGGGACCCTGAAGGTGCTATTACAGTCCTCTCTCACACCCCTGCTTGAAACGTCATAATGTGGTTGCCAGTTCACACAAAATCACTCCAATTGACAATGTGTCTTTCTATCATATTCCCCTTAAGGCTGCAGAAAAAATGTGGGTACATAGCATGTGCACATATCACCAGATATATTTCCCATGCATCATGTTTTAGCCACTAGCAATTACCTTATACGATCTTTCAGCAATTCCAAAGCCTCTGAGTATTCAGTCTATTTTGAATTCTATTTGATTCCTCCAGCTTAGTCTGTTATGCCAGCTATGTTCTGTGCCACTACAGTTTCATAAATGGAAACAATTTTTGCTCCATCTGTGTTATCCAGGAATCTATTAGTGAAAGCTGCTTTTGACACATTTTTCCCTGATATAAATTTAAACAATTGTCTTAGTAAATGAAGTTTTAATTTTAACAGAATATGGCCTAAATTTAGGAGGCATTTTTATGAGACTCATTAAAAATTTCTAAAATTACTAGAGAGAAAATTTATTTATAATAGCATCAGATATTATATTTGTATAATTTCTATCTTTAAGTTTGTTATTATAAAAGGACTTTTAGAGTGAGTCTTAGGAATGAAACTTTAAGATATAACTTGCAGACACACACAACTGAGAAATAGGGGACAGGGTTGAGGCACAGCAGGTTAAGCTACCGCCTGCCATGCCACATCCCTTATGAGCACTGGTTAGAGTCTCAGCTGCTCTACTTCCAATACAGCTCCCAGAAAGTATGCCTAGGAAAGCAATAGAAGATGACCCAAGTGTTTGGGCCCCTACCACCCATATGGGAGAGTAGGCTCTTTGCTTCAGCCTGACTCAGTCCTGCCCTTTGTGGCCATTCAGGGAGTAAACCAGCTAATGGAAGATCTGTTTCTCTCTCTCTCCCTCTATCTGTGTATCTCTGCCTTTCAAATAAGTAAATAAATAAATCTTAAAAAAAAAAACCCTAAGAAATATGTCATGGAAGCTGGGATCAGAACTCAGAAACATCTGTACTGACTACCACTGGGCCAAATTTGGGGAAATAAAAGGAAAATAAATAAATGTAACATTCTATCTTCCAGTAAAAAAAAAAAAAAGTAAGTGCATTGGTAAGAACTTGAAAATAATAAATAATACACATGAAAGATTCTCGACGTTTATTTGATTGTTAACTCAGTATGAATTAGAGATGTGATATGATTGGCAAAAAACTAATATGGTGTTAGATTATACTTATAATAAGTACATGTCCAGAATAAAGAAAATGAGAACCTCTCTTAAAATAGGTTGGTTATACCTTCAGCCATGTCTGAAAATAGAGCATTTTGTGAGACAAAGTATGTTCCAAGTAGCACACCTAGGACTATAAATGGGCTGAGGATACCCTTAAGGAAATCAGAATGTTTAGCCTGAAGGAAATAAGCTATAGTGGAGAGTTGAAAACTGTCTTCAATATTGTAAGGCTTCCTTGGGGAGTATGGAATTTAAACATAGGGCAGAATGAGGAAAAAATAATAGAATATATAGGTCTATAAATCTTGCCTAAATTTAAGTAGGAATTTTATAATAACTATAGATAAGATATCCAGGAATTAGCAAGTTGTTCTTGAATTGGGCAAAGGCCAATGGCTGCTCGTTAGAAATGCTAAGAGAAGTCTATCTAAAAATAGCTGAACTGAATGATCAGAGAGCCTCATCCTTCGAACCTCATAAACCTAGATTTAAATTTCAGAAAAGTGACTCAAACCTTAATTGGGTATGGTGCATGTTATTATTAATACATCATAGGGTCAATTTTCCTTATGAAAATATTACAAAATATCAGTTTAACATTTACAATAAGCCCTTTAATGTGGTCCCTACTAATCTAGCTTTTGTCCTATTCATTGGTGTTCACGTTTTCACTGCTTAAGCTAGAAAAGTGCTAATAGTTGTCTTCTCCATAATTTTCTCAAAAACTAGAGCAGCTGCTACCAAAGCTAAAAAAAAAAAAAAAAAAAAAAAAAAACTTAAGACATAAATTGTGATCACAGATTTTTTAATGCATTTTTCAGTTCATATAATTGAGGTCCAAGACTACAACAGGCTTTTGCCTTCAAATTATGCAATGAAAATGTGCAATATACCTAGAGGGGCACACAGATGAATGGAGCTGCAAAATCACTTCTGCTCACATGGAATTTTGATTTTCTAATTTCAGTCTGTAATTACTACTAGTAATGAATATTTTATCTAAGTGTTCTAGCAACCTTTTCGTTCTGTTCCATTCAGTTCATTCACAATACAGTATTTATGTTTTTGCCTTGGATGCCCTATCAAGTTTACCACCTTGGCCTTTGACAGAAAAGTCAAAGACCATGAGCAACCTGGGTATAATGTCAAAATTCCATTAACTAGAAGAATCATGGGTTTCACAGACTTTTTCAAAAGCCCAAGATACACTGAAAGTTCAGTTTAACACTATTGCCTGACAATTTTCTCTGCCCACTTTACCTTGAAAGGAGAGCAATCTTAAATTTATATCACTGTTCAACACACGCAATCATTCACATTTAGTTGTATTTTCTCTTCACTTATTCCCTCTTCCTCTTCTCTGCTTCTTTGCCTTTCACTCTTCTGACTTCCAGTCATTCATCCAGAATATTAAAAGTTTTATTCTTCAATTAATATAGGTGATTTATTTCAAGCCAACTTAAATTCATACTTGCATGCCAGTTCCTATTATAATGGATTTCAGAATAAAAGTTGGATCAGGGACAAGTCATTTTCCTTTCTCCTTAACAACTTTCTTTTTATTAAAATAAATATACAGAATTTGAATACCAAATTGTTTATTCTAAGACTTAGTGAGCTGGCAGAAAGAAGAACAATACTCAGTAGAAAGCTGGAAAAATACAGGAAAGGAAAATATAGGACAGGGAATCTTTAATAAAGAGAAAATTGGACCAGAAGAAATCTTGAAAATTATGCATAAGGGAGGTTTTTTTAAGGCTATGAAAGAGAAGATAAACAGATTCTTTCTTTTTGGTAGTAAAAGAACTGGGAATGTATATTTTTAAATATTTAAAATATATAATTAATAATTCTCAAAGGAAAAACAGTGCTATGATTTAGCATATGCTTAATGCAAATGCATAATTGATTCGGATTGACTGCAGACAATGTATGTTCTCATTGACAATACAGAATGTAGGAAAGAACATTCTACATATTTCAGTTTGGGCAATAGTAAAGTAATTCTGAAAGTCTGTACAATCAAAGATGCCCCCTCTACTATTATTCCAATTTGCTGTAGCTTGATACAGTCTATTTACAGGCAAATGAATGCTATGATCCCTTGTATATTTTAATTTCTATCCTCCCTCCCACCCCGTTTGATGTTAGCTTCATTGCACTTATCGCTAAGGAATATTTAGTGAGCTCTATGGTATAGCTTCATGAACATCATATTTGAAAATGAACACATAATACAAGGCAATCTTTGGTCTTTATAAAACTAATAAATTTAGGTTTATTTCACATGGTTTTGTTTTTGTTTTTGTTTTGCATCATGACTTAGAATTTACAAAGCATCTTGCTGAAAATAGTATAAAGAAGTTAATTAAGTGCAATTGGAAACCCTTATACTTAGTGAAGTCAGTCCCCAAACCACAAATACCATATGTTTTCCCTTATCTGTGGTAACTATAATAGAGTACCAAAAATATGTAACGTCTATGAATAAAATTGACATTTTGAGATTTGATGACTGTTTACAGCCTTTGTTGAGAACAGTGTTTTTTTCTTACTATTTGTTGAATTATTTACTTAGTGTAAGGTTAATCTTAGGAATATAAAATGGACTGAGAGTAGGTCATTGTAAAAATTAAAGGAGGAATGGGAAAGGAAGAGAAGGGATGTTGGGGGAGCATGGGGCAGGAGGGAGGGTAAAGTGAGAATTATCACAATGCTTCTAAATCTGTATATATATAAAATACATGAAATTTGTTCACCTTAAAAAATAAAAATTTAAGAAGAATTTTTAAAAACCAGATCTTGCCATCTGCAAACAAACAAAAACAAAGTCAGGCATTATTATCCCCTTGTCAAAATTAAGACAGCTAAAGTTGAGAGAAATTTAAAAACCCAAATAAGGTCACTGAGTAAGTAGAGAGACCAGACTGTTTATCTCCTACAGTGAAATGCTACAAACATGAAATCTACAGATTTTAGGGCTGGTATTATAGTGAGGGGATAAAGCTGCCACCTGCGTTGCGGGAATCCCCTATGAGCACTAATTTGAGTCCTGGCTGCTCCACTTCAGATCCAGCTCCCTGCTAATGGCCTGGGAAAGCAGCAGAGGATGGCCAAGTGCTTGGGCCCCTGAACCACATAGGAGACCTGGAAGAAGCTCCTGGCTCCGGCTCAGAGCCCTGGCCATTGCGACCATTTGGGAAGTGAACCAGCATGTGGAAGACTCTATCTCTCCCTGTCTCTGTGTGTGTGTGTGTGTATGTGTGTGTGTATATATATATATAACTGCCTTTCAAATAACTAAAATAAATCTTTTGAAAAATCTATAGCTTTTATTTGGGTGTGGCCTGGTCAGATGCAGAGTCAGGGAGGCAGTTTGAGAGGATGAAGTCTTTGGTGGAATGTGTGCTGGCCTCTCCCCTGATACTTTCTGATGTTCTCATAAGCAAAATAATCCTTAGTACTCTGTCCCGCACCAGGAAGCATTTGGTCTTGTCCTATGGACGATCACTAAGATGTAATGATCCCACTGACATTTAATACTGAGGGGCAGAGGAAAAGTAATTGTCCAGAGAAGTGGCCAGTGCCCACAAGTGAAGAGTTCTCCAACTTTAGGGCTATGCCCCTGTTGACAGACAATTTAAGGATAATTTCTAGTGAGTTATTAATATTTTTTAAAATTTGTCACAATTAAGGATTTTTAGGATTTAACAAGAGCTTGACCAATATAACCTTTGGACAACAAACTCTGAGATGCACTCCACAAACCACATGTGACCAGTGACTCAGCAGTGCAGTCCTCAGTTGGTCAGAGTGTCTGTGTCTAGAATTCTGTTTTACATTGCTGTTAGTTTTAATATTTTATTACTTCTTTAGTTTATTGTGGGGTATTTAGTTAAGTACATGTGACCAGTGACTCAGCAGTGCAGTCCTCAGTTGGTCAGGGTGTCTGTGGCTAGAATTCTGTTTTACATTGCTGTTAGTTTTAATATTTTATTACCTCTTTAGTTTATTGTGGGGTATTTAGTTAACACTGAAGTGTTTAGTGTTCTCTACTATTTGTGAACAGTATTTTTATTCAGAAAATTTATTTTAAAAATTAATTTTTTTACAATTCTAAAAATGTGATAGTTCCCTTCCTCCCCCCCTTGCTTCCTCCCATTTTCTTTCTCTGTCTCTTTTTCTTTCTCTCTTTCCTTATTTCTTTTTAATTTTGGAGATAACATATTTATAATTACTTTACAGTCAGAGGCTTAATGCTCCACTAAGTAAAGAGCTAAGCAAAAGAAGTAAAAATGCTCTAGTTTAGAAGGAACATGAGCAAGGGCCATAATCAATAATCTAGTGGAAATATGTCCATTTCACTAGTATACAATTTTAAAGTAATCACAGATCATTAGAGCTATCTTAGCATATCATTCTTAAACATTGGTTTGAAAAACAAAGACAAAATTATACTTACAACAATACTGATAGTTCTTTTTTCATTTTATTTCTTGTTTGTTTTTTCCTTTTAAATTAAGCTCCCATTCCACATATAAGGGAGAACACGCAGTATTTGTCTATCTGTGTCCAGCTTATTTCACTCAGCATGCTATCACTAGGTTACATCCATTTGGATTCAAATGGTAGAATTTTATTCTTTTTTTATAGCTGAATAACATTCCATGGTATGTATGTGTGTGTCACATTTTCTTTATTCATCCAAGGATGGACACTTTGATTGATC